TGTATAATCCAGGGGTTGGCTTTCTCAACTGTTTCACAGAGTGGAAGTATTTCTCCATGTCTCCTGAAGGTGAATGTTGCTCCACCTTTTCTGAGGAACCCACATAAGATTTGTCTCCATGGACCATTGGAGTTGCTACTCCTAATGCTGATGGGTTTAATTTCTCATTAGCAACAGAAGATAGCCAATTAAAACACTAATTTGTGCGGGTTTTGGAAAGTGCAGAAGGATAACATACGCTTTCCCGCCTCATCTGTTACCAGTAGCGCCTCCCCCTTTCCTTTGGGAGCACCATTCATGCATTGAGTTGTTTGAAAGTAATACAGGCAAAGAACTATAACTTTTAATATTGGGAATCCTGAACACATTACCATCTTGAATAGCAACGTCTGCTTCAACAATGCAAAATCAAAGGCGGATATGGTACTCAGGTTTTTGATGAGGGTGAGCAGACTGCACAAGTTCACAGTGAACCTCTTTAAGAAGTGGAGACTGAACAAGGATCAAGCCGTAGATTGAAGGTGGAAAGTTTTGATTTGCGGGGAATCTTGGATGTAAAACTTCAGGATGTGTATCCACGTCATTTTGATGAAAACATTGTACAACTGATGGGCCATGTTTTGAGCTCAATCATGAGCCGGCCCTGACTGAGTGATCAATTTTCCGGCACCATTCCAAAAACACGCCCCACCTTTCTGATCGACTACGGTGTACCGAACATCAGACTGTGCGCATGCAGTTTGTATCAACAAGATAGCTATGTCGCGAGTGTTTTGGATAGTGGGTCCCCAAAAAACAAAATAATACAAGGCCTCGTGGAGGATCCAAACCATCCCAAACCCGCAGGCAAACGTGATCCTGCTTACAGCTAGGACAGATCTGAAGCGCTGCATCATCATTGGAAGTGTCTTCAGTGGTCACAGACTATAGTCTTGACAGCTGGTCAGTTGTAAAGAAATAGAAATCAGTTTTATGAGGCGTCTCAGAATGATAAGCTTGCCAGAAATGCTCAGATCAGCCTTGGATGTTTGTGATCACAGTGCGTAGAAGCTACACGAACTGCCCACTTCTGTACACGGCCGGAGGCCTTCGACGACCTAGTTTCGTCGATTTTGCTGTACCGGTATTGCCAGGCTGATGCGAATCGAGCCTCCGAGATGTCCCTGCGACTCTGTTTGACCCTGCGGAGGATGACGACAACGGTTGGGGGCGCCCGTATGTCCAGGCCGACCCCTCAGCATCGGCATCATGAGGCGTGCTTCACGCCCGGCCGGTGATGATTCGCCGGTACAAGGAGCCCCACCGTGATCGGGTCAAAGGCATGCCGGAACGGCCGTCGTTGAGAAACCCGGCGCATAACTATGAAGATGCGAGCAGAAGTTTCTGTTTGGCCATTCGGCTACCTCGGACTTTCATCGGGCGTGTGAAGTGGGTGTGATCTTCGAGTATGTACTGCAACACACAGCCTGGCTGCACAGCTAGCATCTTCGGTCAACACGAATATATAAACCCATCCGACTTACTTGACCAAGTCGAGAGAGGTTGACGATAAGACAGAAGACCATCGAAACGAAAGAAGAACAAAAAAAAAGATGAAGGCCGACCATCAACATCAGCTTTCTGATCCATCCCAGTGGAACGCAAGTCTGGCAGAACTCCCAGCTAGACAATCTGAAGACGGCGTCATCCCGGCGTTTTTCTTTGTGAGTTCATCTCATTCCATCATTCGGCCCTGTTGAATTTACGCTCAATGGTTGAGTGTGTGGGTTTCTTTGGCCTCGATCTGTCTTCACCAACATTAAGGCGCACGGCTGTCGGTACCTTTGTCTTTATGTACCCTTTTCAAATCTTCACTCCACATCCTAATTAAGAGTCAAGAAAGCAGATATTGACTCATTTTATCCATTTTTGTATCCATCCAGATCCAAGCGTAGTCTTCCAAAGCGAATCGGCCGCACGTCGAGGCTTGCAAAGTGTCGGAGGCCCGCTGCACAATTTCCTGAAAGACTTTGGCCCGGCACTGATGGAGAAGTACCGGCCGAAAGGGATCGTCGTCTTCTCGGCACACTGGGAGTCGCCGTCGAAGGAGATCAAAGGTCGGTCATTCTTTGTCGACGCTACTTTGATCTCGGCCAACCCTCATCGATGTCAGCTTGTCCATCCTATGAACTCATCCACATGACTTTTTTCTTTTTCCAGTTACGGATTACGGAGATGACCAGCCCCTCTTGTATGAGTACGTTGACGAAAAAAAAAGCAAAAAATAACCACATGATTGTCTTAATTGTCTTGTCGAGCTGACAAAATCGGTGCTCCACCAGTTACTACGGCTTCCCACCCGAGTTCTACAAAGCTCGATGGCACTCAAACGGTTCGTCTGAGCTGACCCAGCGGGTCCTTGCGTGTCTGAAGGAGGCCGGTATGGAGGCATCCCGAACGACAAGGGATGAGCCGCGGGGACGAGACGGCCTGGTGGGCCCGGCCCCCGGCTTGGATCACGGCGTATTCATCCCTTTCATGCTGATGTAAGTAAGCATCTAACCCTGTTCGCTAATCTTCACATTACTCATCCTATCCCCTGGGCTCTTTTTTTTCGAAAGGTTTCCTGAAGGGAACGAGAAAGCATTCCCGATACCTGTCGTTCAAGTCTCCATGGACGGCTCGCTGGACCCGGAACGAAACATCCAATTAGGCCAAGCGGTCGCTGCCCTGCGGTACGAAGAGCTGCTCTTTCGTCTTTTTTTGACCTACTAAACCCTTCAGTCTCTGGGTGTGTGCCCATCCAGTCCTGACTTTCGCATACCCCCCCCCCCTCCCGCTCACTCATTCGACCATGACATCGAAAGCCGTCAAGGCATCTTGATCCTTTCGGGTGGCGTGACCATCCACACCTTCGAAGATTTCCATGAGTGGCAATTTGAATCCTCTTCGGAAGCAGTCAAACAATTCGAGCGTGAAATCATCAACGCTTCGTTGAAAGAACCCGTAAGTTTCATTTCATATTTTCGTTCTCTGCAAGACATCCCAGTTGCTCTTCTCATTCATCTGGTAATTCTTCCCTGTCATGTTCTTCAATAGACTTCCGAGAGATTCAAAAAAATGATCGACCTGACCCAGCTGGAAGGATTTCGAAAAGCGCACCCCCGAGAGGATCATTTTATCCCGATCTATATTGCCGCTGGAGCTGGTAGCGATCAAGGCTCGACGAAGGTCATCAGTGATATACATGGTCAGTTTCTTTCATTTTATTCTTCTCTAGTGACTGCTGTCCTGGATCAATTGAAGCCTTCACTATCTCCTCTCTCTCTCTCTCTCTTTCACTTGGATTATGCACGCACAGGATGTCAAACTATTGCATTCGGGGTTGTCTGAGAGCGTGCCCCTTGTGTATTTTTAAATGCGGCTGTTTGGATTCCGAAAATTCTCTCATTGTACCTTTTTGCACCCCAACAGATCATTTCAGTTTCTGTTTTCTCAGTTGTTGTAAACCTATTTATGGTCTCAAACTGCTTTTACATTACATCAATCATCCTACCAGTTCACCCTTTTCTCAAGAACATTTGATCCATTCCTCCCTCTTAGTATCATACACGGACAGTTAATTCTTTTGCGTATGCGTTTATTTATATAATTTTGGGCAACTGAATCTTCAGTTGAACAATTAAACCCCCCCAGGAATTTCTCTCATTTGACCTGGTTTGTAAACGCACCTCCCAGAGGAACAACTTCTACCAAAGCATGGAATCACTTGCCTATTTGTAAGATTTGAGGATCAAGATACTATATTCAAGCATAGAAATCAATGCTAGTAATTAGTAGTGGATAGTGACTTGGATAATGAAAAGGAAGAATAAACTTGAAATCAATATTGGGAGAAGGAGGATAAAAAAGAAAGATATGGGAAACCAAATGAGTAACAATTTTGCACTGCAAGAAAACCCCATTCAATTTCAGGATTAGAGTGGGTTGGGTCAACCCACAAGTGACCTGTGACCTGTAGGGTCTTGGGGTGGGTTTGGGTCAACCTTTTGTGAATAAAATAAGTGAGCTGACCCACTTGATTCCTGAGGCCTTTTGTTTCTTTTATTCTGTTTTGTTTTGTTTTCTTATTCAATTCTTTTGTTTTTTTGTTTTTATTGAATTCTTGCTTTTTTTTTCTTTTGAATGAAGGATTTTTTATTTATTATCCACTTTGGACCCTTTGTTGCCTTTTATCATCCCTTTTATGGTTTGCTGCCGTTATCCCTTCTTGTTCCTCTTTCTTTCTGTATTTTTTTTTTCAATGAATGATACCATTTTTTTTCATTGATATGGTGCCCTTGGGGCTTGGTATCAGTGGCTGTGTTTTTTCATCTTTGTGAGGGCAGTAAATGATGTCGACTCCCAAATCTCCCAAAGTTAAGGGTCTTTTTAGACGGAGGACTGCCATATTTTTAATGAAATAATAATTTATTGGGACACTGGAGCAACAACTCCCTTATTCCACCCTCCAATTAGAAAAGCAACTCCTGTTAGAATCCACTGACGGTAATGGGAGTCCTGAACTAATTTTTTAGGAGCTGTTTTTCTAAGCTCCTAAATATATATATAAAAACTAGTATCTGCCCCCAATTTTGGGGAGTATGACATGGTGATATTGTTTTTGCCCCTTTCAGGGGTGCTGCTTGAATTGAGCACCTGTCTTGGTCTAATGTTGGCATCAAAAACTGTGAATTGGAGGTCGAGGTCAGCGTTAGATTGCATGACACTTTGTTTGGCTCTCTGAGCCTATTCTTTTATTTATATGTAGATAATTCTATATTAGAATAATGAAAAGAATCAAGATTTAGTTACCACCCACACTACGGATAGCTGGAGGAACTTGTTCCACATATACCCTAAGAGATTCACTGCAACACACCTCTGAAATGAGTACCAAATCAATGATGTAAGACTCAAAAGTGGTTATGAAACCCATTTTGCTGAATGGAGAAGGGTATGTTGGAGTTGCAAGCTCTGCCCTTCTATACTATCAGAATAACAAGACCACCAAGCTTAGCTTGGCAATTTTATATAGTGATAGGGATAAGTTTGAGATGAAACTGCCAATTGATATGTGTGAGGGTATAAAGATGTTATTGACTGTTGGCTATATTGATGAAGGTGTTGTTGATGAATATGGTTCAGGGCACTTTTGGTTTATGATGATGATGAAAGTTTTAAATCTGTATTTCAATTTATATAATTCTGTAATTTTAATGTGGCTATGACTTTTAGTTATGAAATAATATATAAGATGGATTTATTTATGGGGTAAGTGAATTTTACAAACTATTTTTTACAAGACATATGTCTTGTAAACCTGATAGTTTTTAAAATTACATTTCCATGGGGGTAATGTATAATTTTACAAACCATCTGTGATTTTCGAAGGTTGTAAAAAATGGTTTGTAAAATATGTTTGTTAAAATTGTATCACAACATTGCATTATGTAATTTTACAAACTATATCATGCAAGTCTTGCATGACTAGGTTGTAAAGTTGTATATCAAACCTTAAATTTAGAATTTCACAAGACATATGCTTGCAAACCTTATTGTCTTGTGAAACTATGTATGTAAAAAAGCTTATTGACACCCTGTAATAGAATTTTACAACACATAATTCACAAACTATCCTTAAAATTTCAATATATAAGCTTTAAGCTTCATACAAACATTTGGCAAGCATGGAATATCATGGGTGATATGCCAGGCCTTGTCCCCACCTCCCACCCTTTGTCAAACATACATTGCCAACAACTCAATATGATGAAGTACACAATCCCATCAAGGACCGGTTTTAACCAGTCCTTGATGGGAGTAAAGACCCCCAAACACCCCCATCAATGACCGGTTTTGACCGGTCATCAATGGAAACCCCCAAACACCCCCATCGATGACCGTTGATTGGTCATTGATGTAAACACCCCATCAGTCATCAATGGGGGTGTTGACCTCCATCACAATAAACACCCCCATCAGTCATTGATGGGGGTGTTTACCTCCATCACAATAAACACCCCCATTGGTCATCGATGGGGGTGTTGACCTCCATCACAATAAAAACCCCCATTGGTCATCGATGGGGGTGTTTACCTCCATTAAAATAAACACCCCCATCGGTCATTGACAAACCGGTCATCAATGGGGGTGTTTCTTCCCATCAAGGACGGGTAAAAACCGGTCCTTGGTGAGATAGTGTCCTCCCATTGATGACAACCGTCATCGATGGGAGGACTGTATGGCCAATTTGGTGGTTGGATTTTTTTTTTTCATTTTCATTTTCATTTTCATTTTTGTATTTTTCTTTTTTTTTTGGCTATTGTGGAGTGTCAGTGCCTCCTGCATAGATCTCCCTCTTTTTTTTTTTTTTTTTTGAGGGTTGCAAAACATGGTTTGTAAAATTCAATTTTACATACCATGTTGTGCAATTTTGCAAAACATAATTTACAACTCATATATGGGTTGCAAACTAATGGTTGCAAAATTCCATGACATAAGGCAAAAATATACTTTTGCAAATCATATCGCTTGCAAGACATAAGGGTTGCAACATATATGCCTTAAAATTCAACTCCATGGGGCATGGGTTGCAATTTTAAGGCACATATGTTGCAACCCATATTTTTGGGTGATGGTTTGTAAAATTATACATTACCCCCATAAAAATGTAATTTTACAAACCATCTGATTTACAAGACATATGTCTTGTAAAAAATAGTTTGTAAAATTACAGCAACCCTTTATTTATAAGGGTTGTTGAGATGATCTGGTCCACTGGTGAAATAATGGAGGGAACAACTGGCAGGAAGAGGACTCCTTATATAGACAAATGTGAGAGATTTTGGCCCCAGGGTACAGGCTGTGAGATACTACTACAGAGGGATGCATATGAATGAATAGAGGGACGCATATGTATGATCAAAGGGATGCATACATGCAATATCACTAATACAAAGGGATTCAAAATAAGGTAAAGGTATTCAATTTACTACAAAAGAATTCAGTATGCAATATGCATCCTGTATTCATAATGACTATGGCTAGAGTGAAGAATCCAAGAAATATCCTGCGACAGGTTGAAATATGTGTAACTTCTAAACTATAAGAGATAAAGGTATGGTTGTAGTGGTTGACTAGGGGTTATTTTACCTGAGGATTCCATTTTTGATTTCAATTTGACCATATCTTGAATGAATAAAGAGATAATACGAAATTTTTATATTTTCTGCATAGAAACACAGTATTATTTACCACAATGATTATACAGTCAACTCTGCTCTAAGCCATACCTGTATTAACCCGTACTCTCCTGTAACCCATGGCAAAATGTGTCCACCAAGTTGGTGGACAGCCAAAAAAGGCTTTCAAACCCATAACTCTCTAATACCCAGCAACCCATACCATATAGAGAGAAAAATTCAAAAAATCATGGGTTTTTCTCTAAACTTACTGAGGGGTGGTTCAGATTTTTCTTGCTTCCAAAAACTAAATCCTTCCAACCAGTCTATCATGGAAGAGCCACCCATTTCAAAATACCTCATCCGACAGGGTGATATACTGTCTTTCAACCAATACAACTCAGCTAAACCTGAGGATCTTGCTTATTCCAGCTCAATTGATAAAATTCACATTGATATATTTTCAAAAAAATATTAAGCTTTGAAGAAACAAGTCAAAACAAAAAACAAGGAACTGGTGGAAAAGCAAAAGCAGAATGAACTTACCAAATCCAACAAAGAGTGGATGGATAATGAGGGGAACTTGATTGAAAACCACAAAGTGTTTGTTCTCTCCATGAAACCCATGAAATCATCATTTGATATTTGATGGAGAGAAATTCAAGATCTTCCCTCACCTCTTTGTTAACCCATAAAAACATGGGTTAATGAAGGGAATCCTCTTAACCCATGAATCATGGGTTAATAAAGAGCCTCTTCCTCCACCCATGCTCTCTATTAACCCATAGTGTTTTGTGTCCACCAAGGGGTATGGGTTAATACAGAGTTGACTGTAGTGCAAAATGGATATAGTCCATGTCAGTGGCGATGAAAAGGATTTTGAGTATTCAAATCCAGTTGAAATAGTTGGATTCTGATCCATGAGGCTTGAGTTGTTCAACACCTGTCAGCTTAAGAGTCATATGAAACAATAATTTGGAGTCTTTTGTCAACAACATACAGTCAACTCTGAGATAACCCATACCCCTTGGGAGAAAGGTTTTGGTATGGGGTAATAGAATCATGGCTTAGGGGTGAGATCTGTATTAGGCCATGATTCATGGGTTAAGGAATAAAGCTGTATTAACCCATGATTATCATGGGTTAACAAAGATATTGTTCTTATGAGTTCTTTGATTTTGGTATGGCTGTACTCATGTAGCCCATATGCATAAGCTTCTTTGCTTGATCTATCTACAATTTATGTATTTATTGAGTCGCCATTTGGTTTCAAGTTGGTTATTCTGATTCATGGAGTTGTCCATTTTGTTGCTTCAGCCAAAGGTTCTTAAGTTTGGAGCTCGTTTCTTTTTTCATTTTCAAAAAACTTTCTTCCAGTTGATGAAGGAGGAACTCTTTGAATGAGTGAAGATGGCTGAATGTTTCACGGTTAGTGTAGTCTACAGTGTAGTTTGTGGTTCTAAAGGAAATAATATTTGCATTCCGGAAGATGTAGTTGGGGATGGGATTGTGACCTTCCATTGGATGATGATGAATTTATGTTTTGGATGATACAAAGCACAAGAGATTTATTCTGAGACTCCAAATCAGTTTGGCTTAAGCTGAGAGTGAGAAGCATGCATTTAATTTTTATATACATATTCAGAAAAATTTGAAATTGAAGGTGAAAAAACCCATAATTTTTCGGTTTTTTTCTCAAAAAGGGTATGGGTTACTGCAGAATGCAGAGTTATGGGTTAAGACCCATTTCTCCCTGCCCACCAACTTGGGAGACAGATTTTCCTATGGGTTAATAGAAGTATGGGTTTTCTCAGCTATGGGTTATCTCAGAGTCGACTGTATCAGGCTTGGTTGGCTGGTAGAAAATTTTTGATTGAGAGGAAGTCAAGAGTGATTCTTGCTTTGGGGAATTCAACAACAAGGTCAATAGTGTAAATTCCCATTTGATGTATGGTGAAGGTGGTGAGTTCATGCAAGAAGTGCTTTCATGGTAAGCATACAGATCCTTATTATCACCTCAGAGTCTCAGTTGTTGCAGCAAAATGGTGCACATAACCTGTGTGATAGACAGGTTTGTGGAAGAATGATCTGAATTTCATGAGTCAAAGAGAGAAACAAACAGAAAGATAGAGCCAAGAGAAAAGGAAAGAAAGATAAGTTAAAAAATAACTGGGACAAAGTGTGAGGTTTGTGGAAGGATGAGGAGAGAAATTCTTGCATATACTCTGAATCTTGTGACATATATGTGACACATATGATGAAAGGTGAGAAGCACAAAAGGAAAACAATACTCCAACAGATGAGTTTAGAATTCTGACAAATATGAGGTTTGTGGGTGCAGCTATTCTCAAAGATCAATGGAAAAAACAAACAAATGTGAGTGACTGAATCAAGAAAGGTATATGTAATTGAAATATGGAACTTCTATGTTTTTGCAGTTGCTTTTTTGTTTTATGTTGATTTTTTTATTCTCTTTTTTGCTGGCCTTTAGCATAAAAGCCACTTTTCCTGAGAAATGGAATTTTCTGATGAATTCAAATGAGAATCTGAATGATCTTCCTTCTTAAATTAAATCTGAAAACTTCAAATAAAAAAACTTTTGAATCAAACCCAGGTGACAGCATGTTTTTTGATTTCTTTATTTTGAAAGAATCAAAAACCATTCTTCCAATTGTAGAATTTCATTTATTCTTACTGTTTCCCTAGAAACCCCAGATTCTTGAATGTGAATTTTCTGATGAAGGATACCGTCTTCTTAATTTTTCTATTTTTTCTTGTAAAGTTTCAATTTGATCCTGGATTTCTTTTTCACAATCTTCCAAATCTTCAGTTTTCATTGTGAGATTGTTCCTATATTCAGTTTGAATTTTGGAATTATAGATTTCATGCTCAATATACTCAAGTTCTTGCTGGGGTGATATTGGTAATCTAATTCCTTTTTTCTCCTTGAGAGGAAAGCTTCTTTCAATACTGCTAAAACTTTCCAACTCTAGCAGAGCCTGGAATTCTGGAAAACATTAAATTTAATCTCTTTCTTACTTGATTCTGTTCAAATTGATATTGCAATCTTTTGATGATTGGTATTTCTGATTCTGGTTGTGTTTTGAGGAAGTTTTCATCAACAAATTCGAGAATTTGACCCATCAATTTCAAATCTTCACTTTTTCTCCAATTCTTGGCCCAGCATTCAGGGTCTACAAATAATGTAATTAAATCCATTAGGTTTTTCTCAACAGTGTCAGTAACCACAGCTGCATTTTCATCTGTTTGACCCCTCAAAGCAAAAAGAAGTGAAAGTTCTTGAAAAAAGCTTGGTTTCCATTTTTTTGCCATGTTCTGGATTATATTATCACCAAGTGGGTACCTTTCAACATCCAATTTCAGAAAAATGTACAAAAGGTTGGTCTTTGCTTCAGGGTCCACTTTTGATGTTGAATTAAAAATGAAACAAGAATGTCAATAAATTGTCAGATTAATCAAACTGACAAGTAGAACACAATGGTGGTCATTTATAACATACCTTTGAACATATTCAAAAAAGGTGATGAATGTCTACTTGTCAATAAAATCTTGCCATTTTCAAAAAAATAGTCTTCATGCTCTTTTCCAGAATGGTAAAAGTGCTGAAACATGTTTTGAGTATACCAAAGATAACTGTATCTGCTAGATGGTCTACACCACTTCTCAAATAACTTCTTGAATTCAGCATCATCTAACAAACCATGCTTGTAAACTAGTTCAGCTGTTTGAATATATATTCTTTTGATGGCAGTGATCTGTTGATATTCATTGAAAGTATTTGATGAAAAGTGATAGAATATATCTGAAGAAATTTTGGTAAGTTCTTTCATGGGGAAATAACGTCTTGTATTTTGCACACCAGTTACTGATCTTGTTTCATCTGAATGACTACGTCTAGTTACAAAATGGGCTGTCATTTCAGTGTTTGAAGGCAATTGAGATTGGTTCCATGTTATATGATTCAGAAATGGATGGACTTACTTCTTCCCTGAAGCAAATTCCCTGGTAAAGAACGCTTGGTCTAAATCATTCCGCCATGCCCACTCCTTCAATGAAACTTCTATACAATCATTCAAGCTATTGAGTACAAGTTTTAAATCTTTGGCTGACTTAATCAGGATTTTTTTCTTTTCAAGTTGATTCTCCACTTTCTCCCAATAGTCATCACTTTCATATGGTATTCTTTTCAATAGCCTACTCCTCTGAATGTCATTGAACATTTTATCATAATCTTGGTTCAACTGGTTAAATTCATCCCAGATATCTTTTGCCCACATGGTTGCCCAGTAAAGGTTGGCTGAAGCTGTGTTAGAGGAACCTGGTTTTTCACTCTGGGTATTTTCCATTACATGGTCCAAGTCTATTGGAAAGATGAAGAAAAAAAGAAATCAGTTTCTTGGAATTATGCATGTTCCAAAAATGTAAAATGAGAGCTTACATTCTTGGTATAATCCAGGAGTTGGCTTTCTCAACTGTTTTACAGAATGAAAGTATTTCTCCATGTCTCCTGAAGGTGAATGCTGTTCTGGGTGTTGTGAGGGACCCACATGAAATGTTTCTCCATGGACCATTGGAGTTGCTACTCCTAATGCTGATGGGTTTAATTGATCATTAAAAGACAGTCAATTAAATCAAAAAATTGGGGGGTTTAGGAAAGTGCTGAAGGATGACATACGATTTCCTTTGTCATCTGTTACCAGTAGTGCCTCACCCTTTCCTTTGAGAGCACCATTCATGCATTGAGTTGTTTGGAAGTAGAACAGGGAAAGAACTATAAATTTTAATCTTGGGTATCCTGGAGACATCACTGTCTTGAATAAAGTACTCAAAATGGTAGTTGCACTGCTTGCTTTAAGAATACAAAATAAGGTGCATATAATGATACTAGGCTTTACTTGCAGTATTCTAAATGGATAGAATGATACTAGGTTTATTCCAGATAGGGCTATTGATGAGGGTGAGCAGACTTGGCAAGTTCACAGTGAACGTCTTTAAGAAGTGGAGACTGAACATGGACCAAGCAGTAGTATGAAGGTGGAAAGTTATGTTTTGGGGGAGACCAATGATGCAAACTTCAGGATTTGTATTCACGTCATTATAATGATAACATTGTACAACTGATGATATGTAGACTTCACTCTAAGGGATCAATTTTCCGGCAAAACACGCACCACCTTTTTAATAACAGCGCACCAAACCTCAACCTGCGGATACATATTAATGTCAGGTTTGTTTTGGATAGTGAAAATACAAGGCCTCGTTGAGGATCCAAACCATCCCAAACCCGCAGGTAAACATGATCCAGCTGTTGTGAGCTGGATCACAGTCTTGCTCGGCTGTAGCTCTACTGCGGAGTAGACTGTAGTATCCTCAGCCAGAGCCTCAGTCCGGCATTACCTTAGCATCAGTACCCGAGCCATAGTCTCTGCACCAGCTTACAGCTAGTACTGATCTGAAGCGCTGCATCATCATTGGTAGTGTGGTCAGCTGGAAAGCAGTTACTTACATGAGGCGTGTTCGAATGGGAAGCTTGCCATAATTGCTCAGACTAGCTTTGGATGTTTTGGGTCTGTGTGTTTTATGTGATCACAGTGCGTAAAACTAAGCAGATCGACAACCTTTGTTTTGTCGATTTTGTTGTACCCACCTGAATGTGTTCTAAATCCTGACCTGATAATCAATACCAGTCCCTCGATTGGAGGGATTGTCAGGCCGGTGCGAAGCGAGCCTCCGACGTGTTATGTCCTGGTGTTACACCAGCACGGGAGGGGTACAGATTCCAGCTCGGATCCTCTACATACATAGTTGGTTATACGTGCGTCTTTTGTCTCCTCCGGGTCATCACACGAAAAAGGAGCCTCCCTGGCAAGCCGGGGTGCTCCCGGCCCTCTGAAACGAAGTGATTATTGGGTCAAGCTGATGTTAAACCCCTGCGACTCCGTTTGACCCTGCGGAGGAATGTGACGAGGGATCGGGGCAGGTACGGCCGACTTCTCAGCATCGGCATCGGGCCGGTTATCCAAATGACCAGTCCCCCCCACAAGTTCAATTCACTAAGCCAAGTCTATATTCACGGGATCATGGCAGCCATAATGATCAAGTGGCTTGACAGAATCACTTTCAACATAGATTTGGAAACTACTGGTAACATAGATTTGGAAACTACTGGTAACTGTGCACACTCCAAAAATACTCCCAAAATGCTTGTAGAGTGTGGAGTTGGTTGGCCACTTTCAAATGTGTTTTGCAGTCAGCCTTGTGCATCAATATGTTATGCATACACTCCCAAAAAAACATGTTCAGCACAGATTCACTCTGTAATGTATGTAAACAGTGATCATTGTAGATTGTGCATTGGAGCTATGTACATAGGTTGCTTGCATGGATCAGTAGAGGGTAATTGAGATTTTTTTTTATTTTCCTGCAGTGGAATGTTCCTTTGTATTGTGCAGGCCCTATGTATCTGGCCCTCCAAAATTGATACGATTGAATGATTAGAATGAAATATAATTAGCAAGCCATAATTTTGTTTTAAAAAAAAGGGCATCCAAGATAAAGGAAAGAGAAAGACATGAAGGTCCAGATGGAATTTTGGAAAGGAGGAGGTCAACAAGAGTCTATGTAGTTGTACCTCCAAGTGTTTTGTACTGCTCCTGGATCTCATGGGGATATAATAGAGCAGTGATTTCAGTGCTGGAACTGCAATTAGAAAAGTTGAAAACAGTAGACAGCAGATCAAGGGCTGGTTGAACAATAAGGAGGTTGGTGATCAGTGTCTCCAATGTTTGAGGCTGAGGATCAAGGTTCAAAGGGCTGATCTCTGGGAGTTCATGATGAACTGTTGAGGTGTGTAGATCGGGACATTGGCCTCTACCTCATCAGATCCTGAAATTGACAATGTTGGCTCTATCCTACAGTTCCAGTGAACTGGCTCAGCTTATGATCTTGGAGCTTGTAGGGGCCCAAAATCCAGACTAATTCCAGCTGTTAATCTCTTACTCAAAAATTGCACACCTGATCTGATTGGAAATAGTGCTAGTGATCAGCCATCTGTTATACTTATCTGTACCTTGAGAATGTATTCACCATCTGATCCATTCATATGGGACGAGAAAGATTTAGGCCCCCATTGGGACACCAGTTATACCATATGAATTTTGAAGTTTAGTGCTCGATTGCATGATGCATTCTAACCTAAACTTTAGAATTTATATTGTATAACGCTGTTGTCCAGTGAACAAACAACAATATATGTTGGTACTTGACAAAAAAGTGTATATTTCTAAGAATCATGACATGTGATGTGCAAGAAAAAGAAAAAGAAAGTATGAAACGAAATGAAAACATCTAATCACGTATGAAGATGCAAGCTAAGGTATACATAATTTTTTGAAGTTCACCAGAAACAAAGCACCGCTATATGTTTGCTAACAACGCTCAGAACGAGTCTCAGACATTTGCCTTTGACTATGAGGCTTGCTTGATAAGATATGAGTGCTATTCATCTACCAAGGATTTTTCTTCAGCTAAGCGAGTATGTTTTTGCGGGGAGCTGTAGGAGGTGAGCCGTTCGCGGATTGTTGGTGTGACTGTGTTGGACCATCAGCTGGATTGGCATGAGTTCCTGGCGGGACTGTACGTCGAACCGGGTTCTTAGCTGCAGTCGGCGCTGCCCCTCTGGCAAAAGCGTCGAAGGAAGGCGGAGTTGAGAGGGGGGCAGTGAAGCGCAGATGATTTGGAGGATGTGGGATATGACCCGGGGATGGGTGTCGGGCAGACATGAGAGATCCCGGTGGTGGGGGTGGAGGCAAAGTCACTATTGGTGGTTGACGCCTGGGTTGAGCTACAGAAGCAATCGGCGGCAAGTACATCGGTGATGACATAGAAGAGACGGCCGGAAGCGGATGCAGATGTGAAATGGGCGGATGAAAAACATCCAAGTGGTTGATCGATGGTAGCCGTGTCATCATGGGTTTAGATGAAGATGGTGATGACGATGACGACGAGGATGACATCGGTCGAGAGGGTTGAGGCAAATGGGGGTGATTGAGTGCTGATGGTGGTGGAAGATATGAAAAGGTCGGAGCTGGTAGCACATGATTACGATCTTCCTCATGAGCCTTAGGTTGCATCAGACCAGGAGTAGCGGAATTTGTTTGCTTCTGTGGAGCATTGGCTGGCTTGATTGTCAAGCGTAGTTTGCTTGGAGGTTTGGGCACATGTGGGGCTGTTTCGCGCGGGCTGGGCTTGGAAGCTATCATGAGTGTTGAATCAAAAAGATCTGTCAGTCTTTTGCTGGTAATTTTTATCTTGAGGCCGATTGGATTACCTGAGCCGGTTGGTACCGAGTTAACTGCATGTGATTGTTCAGATGTCGATGAGGCGTGAGCTGTATCGCCTGGAAGCCAAACCGTTTCATGGTAGATCAGAACAGACTTTGTGTTGCAAAGCTATTTAAGAAGAGACAGACCTGCTTGACCTCGCCAAGGACCGTTTGGTTGGTGCATGTTTTGTTTGGGGGCGCTGGTCGACATAGCTACTTTGTTAGGAATATGGGATAACAAAACAAATCATGCTAAGCAATCGTTGTATCATTTTGACGTCAATGATAACTGAGGGATATCAGACCAACCTTGTTGGCCGTCCAAAACCATTCCGTTTGCCTGGGATCTTCCCAAATTATCGGGGTGCTTGATAGCCCCGGGTTGATCGGGGGTGGTATTTGCGTTCACGACTGCGTCACTGGGCGCCTTGGCCTGTTTACGCCTCACCTTTCTTGGTCGCGAATTGTTAACCGTGGCTGGAGGGGCAACGCTACGAGGGCTTTCAGGCTTGGGAACCGGTGTTGGAACACGTTGAGTTTGCGGGATTATCAGCTGTGGATCGACAGGCATGGCCTCCTTGGGTTGGGAGGGCGCTTGTTGAGTATCATGGCGCTCGGTTACTGGAGAGCGATCGTCAGATTTTTCTTTTGATGCCGGGGCGCCGCGAGTCCTATTGCGAGCATTACGACCTCGCGTCCTGTCTCGAGTTCGCGTTGCAGGCGTAACAGCGGCCACTGTGTCCACGGTTGAGCCTTGATTGCTTGACCTACGACGGCGAGTGGGAGCTGCGGGTTGAGGAGCCTCCGCAAGAGTTTCAAGAGACTCAGGCAACATGCTGAGTGCCGAGACCATGTATCCATCTTCAAGATCTAAATTCTTGCCCCATAGTGTAGTTGCGGGTGAGGCATGCTTCGGCTTCGTCACAGAATCCATGACACTGTCTAGCCTCCTAGCTTTGCGCAAAATTCTTAAGCCCGGGTCGGCGCTGACATCTTTTTGGTGTTGCAAAAATGTCTGCAAGGCGGTCTAATTTGTTGAAAGCGATGTTAAGCTCGTGGGTCGCATAGTAGCCAGAAAGGAAAATGAAGACGCACTTTTTGTGTGAGTGGATCAACGTCGGAAGCATCATAAGTCACTCGGTCTGTGGTTGGAAGATGCTCGGGGCACCAAATTCTTGGCTCCATCAAACCTTCAGAGGCGAAGAGTTTCATTTGAGTTTCCGTGACTAGAAAAACAGAGAGTCAAAATACCGTCGCGAAACCACTGACCATTGTGTTCTGCATATTTGACCAGATCGCTTTCACGCGGACGACGCTTCCTTTGGGGTAAAATCTCAAACCCGAATTTATAGCCACTTGACCAAGCGCAACTGACGTGAATGAAGTTTGAACATTGGTCACATCTCGTGCAAACTCCTACTCCGGTTTGATGACATATGGTACATTCCTGGAAGAGGAAACATGACGACGGAATTTCACACGATGAGATTTGTGGCTCAAAACGTGACACTGGTCAAGATATCTGGAGTTGAGAGCTTACCCGTTTGCGTTTGCTGAGCGGAATAGTGGCAAACCCCTCCACTCTAGTCAAGTCATCGGTTGTTGTAAGTGCGAGCTCAGCATGCCATACTGCGCAAATCATGTGGACGAAACTGTCAAGCGGCCGTGAAAACTGATTAGCTCTGCACAAATACCAGAGGGAATTTAGTAAGACCTACGAGTTATATTCTGAAAGTTTCCAGACGTCCAGAGCACTCAAAGCATCTTGGGGCGTTAATGAACGAGGTTTTGATTGACATAAACTACAGCACAATATCTGCAGGGTAAAAGTGTGAGTAAATTATATCGAATCAACGAAGTTCTCACGCCTACCTTTGAAACTGCCATTGATTCTGCGTTCTGGCAGACCAAACATTTCCAAGAGTCGGTCTTGACGGTTGAGTCAAGGCCGAGGCAGGCTGGCCAACAGAAAAGTAAACCCCACCATAAGATTAGCGACTGATAGAAAAAACCAATTATTTGGACGGAAATGTTCTACACACCAATGTGACATGCCAATTTGCATCCACTGCAATGGGCCATTGTAGACTGCGGTTCTACTCGCTTACAGAGGGGACATCTACAGGTAAAGTTTGTTGAGCAACACGTGCTGGTCCCTATCACGGAAATCATATCTTGAACTTACGTCCCAGCCGCGACATCTGGGCCACTAACACACGGGTATGGAACAACCGGCTGAGGGGGAGGCGATGGTACTTTTGTTAGTGGTAAATTTTGGTGCGGAGGCGGATGCTGAAGTCCTGCTGAGGTACGTCGAGGGGGTGACACGCGCGAAGGTGGCGGAGCCGGCTGTGGTGGTGTTGGAGTGGGTAGATGTGGAGGTTCTAGAGGTGATGGCCGAGGTTCAGGTGGCGAACGGCGGTTGGTATTGGACGGCGGGGCTGTCGGCGGCACGGGCGCCGAAGTTGATTGAGTAGTTAAAGAATTTCGGGCAGCGAGAGCTCTGATAGTCTGAGAATGAGAGTGATTCAATTCAATTTGGCTTTCATCAGGAGAGTGGATGCGGTCGAAGTAAGCTTACTTTGGCGTAAGGGCCACGAGGTTTTCGTTCTTTGGCTGCATTGTCCAAAAGACAAAAGAATCAGCCAACATCGCAACTGGGGAACCTCGTTGATGATTTGTCACGTACCTCTATGATTATCTTCTTGCTCTGCAACAGGAACATGCTGCAGGCCATCTATGTGCCCGCGAGAACAATGTCAGTTATCTGTCTCAGCTGCCACTTGTACCTAGCAAACATACATTTTTCCAGCGCACATAACACTCGTCGCAATTGATTCTTGGCTTGGTTGCACCCGCATCAAGGCTTCTGGGCACTTCGCCAAGTAGGTGCAGATCTCACTCGCATACACACAAGTGTATGGCCTTTTGGAGGAGGGCGTGGGCAGGAGACAGGAACTTTCATCGGGCGAGTGGCTGATGGAAGCATCGATTCGAGCATCATGGGCTGAGACTTCGGGGAACTTGTGACTGTAACAATCGCAATTTTTTTAGCCTGATGGTATTACTTCCAAGTAGAGACTTAGCGGACGCACCCTTTAAACATGTAAAAAAACTTTGTAATATCACCCCCACTCTTTTTTGGAAAAGCTTTCCGTATAGCACGGAGATCATCACCCAGTTGGCTTACAACTTTATCCACTTTATCCGAATCCCCCTCGGTCCAATTGACAAAACCAAGGTTTTTGATCGTTTTCTCACCCAACTTTACGCGCGCCTCTTCAAGACTTGAAACCTCAGACAAAGTCTTGAGGGCTCCATCGAGGATTGTTACCCCCACATGGCGAGCAACTGGCAGCTGAGCAGCGTCACGGATGTAATCATTCAAATCGGAATCTGAAGAGATAGACGTTTGATGATCAGATGGAGTTTACGTCAAACGACTGTAAGTGATTGCAGAGCTTGCCTTGGTACTTCTCCAAAAGATCGGGGGTGGAAATGACATCAATTGTCTCATCGCCACCACGAGGTGTGTCCACTGTAACCAAGCAGAGCGTTTCTTCAATCTTAAACACTCAAAATACAAGGACAAATCCAAAGCGAAAAAAACCCAAACCTTCAGTTGAAGCAAAGCAAGAGACGTTGACCGGGGTACCATCCCGGCTTCTTTTGTCCGCTTTGACCGGACGTCCAGCGCTTTGGATTGATGAGGATGCATTGCCCGTCTCGATTGATGGATTGACGGGGACCATGGTTTGATGCCGGGAGCCAACGCGCTGGAGAATGTAAAACATGACAGTTTTAATTTCGAGAGCAACCCAAAAAACCAAGCATTTCAGACGAGGACTCACTGGTGCAGTATAGATATGGGGTGAATCCATCGGATCTGTTTGAATTGAATGGAGACCCATTGGAGCCTCAGCAATGGAAGTCTCATAAAATTGTTTCGAATGTAAGCAACCTACCCAAGACAGACGCGGGCTCCGTAAATCGTCCATAATAACGAAATGGCCATCCATCAACCGTCCTCAAAACGCCATCGGGACCATTCCCTGGTTGGACAAGTGCAGTAACCATTGCTAAAATAACAAAATGAATGGCTAAGGTTATCATACCCCCAACACACTTGAGGATCAGATAGAAGTAGTAAGCGGGCTAAAGACTGACGTTCTTTTTTCTTCCCTTTATCCCTCAAAGATCTACCACTTGCCGCGGCTGCTGGCCCACTACTGCTGGTTGCAACAGCAGATTCCTCAGTTGACTCTTTCGTGAGGGCCAGCGCTTGATCCTCAATCGACTCCTGTCGCTTTTTGGAACATGGTGCACATGCCCATTGGTATCCGCGCGCCCATCGATGACCTCGGTCTGGCTTGCGGATGAGAGGTGGGTTGAGGCAAGCAAAGTGGTAGGCACCGCCGCACAGTGCGCAGGTTACCGAGTCGGCACTGGAGGTAAAGGTCAGGTCAGGTCAGTAAACGAAAATTGAAAGATAAGAGTAAATTTAAATAAGAATAATCATAGCGTTCAGCCGGATGCTACACTAGGAGAGTAACGATAGACGGTTGGATGTAGAACAACTTCAAACATCTGGTGTTTCCGTTTGAAACGTCTCTTTGTAGATAAGGGAGATCACGAGCCATTCTTGGCAAAGCAAACAGTCGATACAAGGGGGACAGTTGCTGAATTTGCACCGTCCTTGCATATTTTATTGGATTGAAGCCTTATCGACGTTCCAGAGCATCTAAGCTTACCCAGTGGTCCACTGTCTGCAAGTCACACAACCTCGCCTTTCCTCGCTCAATTCGGCACCCATACCAGGTTCAGCAAAAATGTAACTGTAGTTATTCCTAAGGAATTGGACGACCTCGGCTGGAAAGCAAGCGCTTTGATGTCAGCATCACGCGGGTTTGACAGTGGGACGCTGAGCTATTTGGAAGCTGGGGAGTAGCATCAAATAGAGAAACTTACGTGGGGCGTTCTTGATGTTCTGTGTCAAAATCAAATCATAGTGTCGATGGGTGAAGCGTCCATAGACCTGCGAATTTTGATGGTGAGAAAGGATTAGTCAGTCCTCAAAACAACATCCCGGAGTTTCCTTGATCGAAAGCAAGCGGTGCTACAGTCAAGTTATAGGTCTCAGGCCAGAAGAGTTTGAGGCAAGAAAGGTATAGTGACGTGAACGCGAAACATTTCGGCACAAGCTTGGACGATTGAGGGCGTTCAATTGGTTGAACGTATCTTCCCTCGTGCACGAATGCAAGCAATTGGATGAAGCTAGTATGTTATCTGAAAACAGAGAAATAAATGTATACCTGAGAAAAATAAAAACAGTCTGGGGCAGCCTTCCATGCCTCAATCTCATCCGAGCTACGGTCATTCTTGAATTCGACCTTGCATTTACCTCGCAATCGGCTGACACAGAAGACTTCATGAGACATTGAGGCTTCTAGTAACCGACAATCCAGGATGTGCCGACTGTTCAAATCTCGTTGTCGATGATAATTGGCGAGCTTGAATTGCACGATGGGTCGAGATTTCTTCTTCTTGTGTGATCCGGTAGGCAAAGATTCTCTGATGAATTCCATAATTCTACCGATGAGCCAGGGTGCGCCATCGGCCATGTGCCATGGAGAAGAGACGTAAACGTGATCTGTTCGGGGTCGGAAATTGTTGGTCAGATCTGCGTTCCTCTCTTGAGCGGGGGGAAGGCTTGATGTCAATGGAGGATTGCAAGGAGGGGGCAACTGACCATTGACTGCATATACTTCGCCGTTGAGCTCGAGTGTCTCGGATAGCTCTTGTGTGTTTTTAGTCATTTTGCAGACGATTTCTGCGTGTGCGATTGTTATGAAAGGTCAAGCTGCTAATAAGAGCGACGAGCTTGGGGGTTGATAACTACAGGGGATGATTTGAAAGTTAGTATGTATGAAGCGGGAAGTTAGACGGTAGGGTATGGTGACATAAGAATCATGAAGTATGCGAGGAATTCGCTGATGGAAACTGATCAAAGGAAATGTTTTCTGGGGGGGTGGGGGGGATGGTGGTTGTTGGAAGAGACGAAGCGATAGAGGGAGAGGCTAAGACGAATCTTCTTAAATACGGAGGAAGGGGTGACTAGAGCATGAGCAGTTGAGAGGAATCGTGGATGGGAAAATCTGTGACAAGTCGAGGATGGTTTCTCGACTGAGCTCCAGAACGACCGATGACATCCACCATTCAAATCCAAGTCTATCAAAGTCGGGTAAGGGATAGAGCCCAAGATACCTGAGATATGTATGTAGTGCTTGAAAGCCCTTAATCTGAAGATAACCAGTAAAGATGAGGATCCTTACACTTTCAAGATGTAAACGCGATGGTGATAATAGAATAGGAGGAGGATTGAGAATACGACAGAGCCAATCACTTAGGGGCAGAGAAGAAGTA